CTCAGGAAACAAGGAAATAAAAAGTATATGCCTGCCACGACGCATACCTGCTTATTATGAATTTAAAAAATGTTGTTTTTTGGTACAAAGTGGCTACTTAGAGTATGTGTTGCACACAAAAGACTCCAGAGAAAGAAAACTAATACACACCTGAAAAAATAAGTGTATTAGAACAGTAAAAATTTCAAAATTGAATAGAAGTAGCTTTAGCACCGTTTAACAGATTGATCTCAACAGCACCGAAAGGAGAGTTCTGCTTGCCAGAACTGGATTAGTTTTCCAAACGAAAAAGACAGATGGTCATTAAGAGTGTTTATTTAACCAGGCACGTGCATCTGTATGTTAACCATGTCTACACTGAACTGGAACCGAGCTGTCCTAAACTAATCGTTCAACATTTCTGCGCCACTACAACGCTACTTTCAGACAACAGCGCAAATGTATTAAGTCAGGTGCAACACTACAAGTACGCTGTGGGGTCTTGAACGAAAGGGAGATGGATTATGTATGCAGTCAGACTGTCTTATAATTTAATGTCAGAATGATGTACGCTAAGTGCATACAAACAGGAATGTTTCGAGCTTCTCTTCTTTGAATTCAGAGCAAAAACATTTGTTTTGAAACACAGTACACAATATTTTAAATGTAGTCTTCGTAGTATAAAGTATAATTTTAAGACGGCATCCCTAAGTGATTCTACACTTTAAACTACAGACCCTCCTAATATTCATGTTTGCCTTTTATAAGGTGTAGCAGAAGAAGATCAAGGGAATGTTCACACCCAAAAATCGTAACTGTTAAATGTACTCACACTCCTGTGAACATTAACCACTTTCATTTAAAATGTTTGCACTCTGTAGGAGACCACCACAAAGTCACCTCATTATATTCTGGGATATTCAAAAAGTAAAGGACACTTCTATAGCTTGGTCAGAAATGAAGACCAGTCTGTTCAACACTCAGTTTTGACCTACGTACATTTCTCTGGGGTTTTGCAACCAGCATGTACCATATCTCTTCCTTGTGGAGCTGCAAGCTAATTTTTCTCCCTGATCGGTGCTCCACTGCTGCTACCTAACACTGCTACATTCTTTCCAAGAAGCAGATCTTAAGAACTATATTAAATGGTGAATATCTATACAACTAAAAAAAGGAGTAAAACTATCAATTATAGCTCCAATAGCTCCAATGTAATGTTTCTCTCCCTTTTGGAAAAGCCAATCACAACATGCCCCTTTCAGAGACTCTGGTTGTTATTCTAAATAAAGTGAGTCATGTAATTATTTTATTCATTCAAAGTTTAAATTAGAGTATATTATTTATTGCTTATCTTATTAGATCCATGTTCAAGCACCAGTCAGCTCAATGTCCTCACCATAAATTCTGTGCTGACACATGGAGAGTGTCCAAACCATGCAGAAAATAACAAACCACAGAAACTGAATTCCTCTATGCTGAAGCTTTAGGTACTTGCTTACTCAAACCTGCTTAAGTGTGACTGCAGAGTGGGGCTATCATCAAAAGCCAATGCCCCTTTTCAGTTTACTACTGGAAAAATCTGCGTTATTGTTTACTGATAGGTGTTGATAACAAACGCACTAGTGCGTGGATCTGATGGGACTTGAAACTGACAATTACCAATTTAGGTGTGCTGCTTTCACATACCAGAAGCTCCAGTTTCAGAAAGAAAAGATGGGATCATGTTTTTTGTCCAATGCAGGTGTTTACCAATACCTTTCACTAACTGAATATTGGCAAAAGTAATCATTCTTGTATTATATTTATAATGCTCTTGCATCTGTTGAGGCACATGCTAAAATAATATTTATTGAAGTGTCACTTGTAACAATAGTTTAAATATAAAATCAAATTTTGGCATAATGAGGTTTTCATTCTAGTGTCTTTTAAACGTCTTTATAGTGGAATAATCCTGAATTTAAAGAGTCATTAGTGCTTACAAGACAATATTGGTTGTGAAGCTTCAACAAGACTTAAAATTGAAACATATCAATAACAGACTGGATAGAACATTGATTGCATAAGCAATAAATTAGGTCCAAGAGCTTTAAAAGTCTGATTTTCATGCATGCTTGATTTTCAAAGTGAAAGCAATCAACTTGGAAGCATACCAGAAAAGACACTCAAAGAAAACTTGAAAACCCTGCATTGTAATTAGTGAAATGATTTCAATATGAAAAGACATACAAACTAAGGCATTGAGCCACCTACAACAATACTGAGATACATGTTTTTGTGTAATGAACATCTGTACACCCTTGTCACGAACAGCTAGCACAATACATTTATATCCATGATGACCCATTGGGACTATTGGATAATATTGGTTAATATTGCAGTGCCAAGAGTCTGAACAATTTCTCTGATGGTCATTTTCTTTCCTCTTCTTCTTCTTCTTCTCCACAGCCTCAGTCCCAGACTGTCCTGGGGTCAGCTGCTTTGGTTGCTCTTCTCCATTTGTCTCTGTCGAGCACATCTTCCTCACTCACTTCACATACCTCCATATCTTTTCTCACACAACCTATCCATCTCTTTCTAGGCCTGCCTCTTCCCCTGTTACCTTCCACCTCAGATTCCATTACCCTCTTTGTTACTTCCTCAACGTCCCTCCTCATGATATGTCCATACCACCGTAACCTCGCCTCTCGCATCTTCTCAACCACATCCACCACCCTACGTCGTCTACGGATTTCTTCATTTCTGATCTTATCCTTCATTTTCTTTCCTCTCAAATTTCCAAATGACCTTCTTTTCTGTCACAGTGAGTTCTCTGGACTTCATGTTGGCTTTTGCTGACTAATTCAAGTGCAAGCGGTTTCAAAAGGCCTCAGCCTAGACCTCCACAGCTCTGTAATGTGTGTGAGATGTATTGCCAACGTGTAACTCCTTGGCAATTAGAAACGCCTGTAAACCCGTTTGTCCCAATACTCATGCTCATCTAAAATGTGGGGCATTGAACAAAATAAAAGTGCTGTTGTTGTATAATGGTAAAACATTTATGCATATTTATGCAAATACCATCAGGTAAAAGGAGATATTCCCTGCTTTTGTCTCATATTCATCTTGTGATTTGAAATCCAAATTTCCAGAGCATACAGCTATAATGGGCTAATTTGAACTCTTTACTTTTGTATATCCATGATGACCTGTCAGGACAGGTAAGGAATTCTGGAAATCTCCCTTCTTTTCAGAAGTGGGAATAGTATTGGTTGGCATGGACATGCGTCTTTTTGGCTCGTGTCGTTTGCGCAGATTTCGAGCTGTGAACATCAGTCTCCGAACCAGACGAAGCCTTTCGAACTTGGAGCCCTTGACACGAGCAGCGAACAGCAAGGCCCCAGGTGGGAGATGGTTAAGTAATAAAAACAAAACGATGTTACTGTATAAGCTACTCAATGAATAGTGAAAAGGACATTTTTAAAAACAACACAAAAAACAGACAGGGTGTCATTCGAGAAAGCCCATGTGCTACTGAATTAGCTCTGATTACCAAATGAAAGGCACTTGTGAGCAGAGGGTGGAGAGGAGTCTTCTGCACTCCAGAACTGCACAATGAGTCTGCCTGTACTGTGTCACACAGAGCACATGTGACCTGCATTTCAGCCAAGAGGTTAGAGGCAGTCTAGAGATCCTCATTTTGGGCAGCCTCCAAGAACAACACACAGCTCAGTGTTTAAACAGACTCCTTCCCTGGTATTCTTGAAAAGGTTCCCTGTACTCTATCTCCACCACACGCACTGTTATTTTATCCAAGTCTGTTTCCCATAGTTTGCAATATGGCTTTCTTTCACCATGAATGTAATTAATATAAAGCTTCTTTTCTTAGATAAAATGGTCACTTCATCTAAAAAGGTCTTCCAGGTCATTGCACATTTGCACCTGGAGTGAAAGGGATACATTTACCAATCTTTTTGCCTTCTCTGCACTGGCTTCCTGCATACTTCAGGGCTGATGTAAGGTTATTAATTTAGAATTTCCCTAATCGCCTCCTGAGGTTTCAGGATACTGGACGGCTGTGTCCCTAGATGAAAATAAAGCAAGAAAAAGCCTTTGCCACAGTTTTTGTCTTAACGCGAGCTTTCTCCTTTAACCTAGTTACTTTTGTATCCTTCTTTTGCTATTTCTATTTAAAGCATATTAATGTTTGATACATATTTTTCCTGCACGCATGTAAGGATCTACATAAAAGATAACATTATGTTGCTATCCCAATGTCATATAAAACATAACTCACATACAGGAGGGTGGGCAAGGAATTCGGTTACTTATTTCTTTTCTTAATACATCATAAATGGCGCTGCAGTAGATTCTCTGTCTTAACAGGTGAGGATGTTAACAATGTCCTTCTAAAGGTGACAAATGGATTCTAAAGGTACCACTCATGTGAAGCTTATTCCCTTTTTACAGTTCCTGAAGCCCTTTGTGGTCACCATGCCCTACTGCGAGAACAATCGTCGAAATAAGGCTCCCGAGATGAACCGCTTCCCAGTCCTGTGGAATCAGCAAACGTACTACAAAGACACGAACAGCATTGACAACTCTCTCAGCTACAAACCCTGGGACCTGCACTGAAAACACAAGCACAGACCCAACGACCAGCCATCTTCCAGCTCAAGGGCAAGTTCAAACATTTTCTTAACCCACAACAATATATTCCAAAAGATATGGTGGGAATGACAATCACATTATGAAGTGTGACACTGAAGTCACCCTTGCCTCATTTTTTGCTTTGGGAATTAAGAAACACAATCCCCCAAATATCCTTGAATTCTTCCAGCCATCTGGATTATTCCTATCCTCTTTACAACACATTTATGATGCCAGAACCTCTCCAGGAACCATGAATATATTTTACACTCGTCTTCCTGAACTTTTGCCGATAACCTTCCAAGACGCTATTTTTGGCCTGCTACAAGCCAGCACAGCATTCTCACTGGAATGGATTAGCGTTCTTAATTACTTAAGAAGGATTAGACACTCACCTAAGGAGAAGTTCCTTTGGAAGCTTTTTGTTAATGGGTGCCTCATCATTGTTTGAGAAAACCTGGGAAAAAAAAACGTAAAACAACATTATCAACAATGAGGGAAAAAAAAAAACAGCTTTCTGAAGAGCGGAAGGTGGAACAAGCTTTATTTAAAAGCAGGCTAGATCATGTGCGTAGTGTGGAAGCTCGCTTACAAGACCTACCAGACAGCCACAAACACGATGCATTGCAGATGAGCCGAAAGCTTTTGCTAACCACTGTGGTAGCCGCAGTGTGATGTGCAATTAAATAGCTCAGTGGGAAGGGTGTGCGCTAGTGACTGAGACCTCCACTCATTAACTTTTGGGTTAGCAAATACATCCCTAATGCATTCACTACAGATGTTACAATACATTACAGGCCGAAAAGTTTTTTCGGGTTACTTATACACCGCTTATCAGTGCAACGATGACATGATTTCTTTCAAGGCATTTTGGTTTAAAAACTGCTTCTCCAATGTTGAAGTGAATTATTAACTCCCATTATTCGAAAGCCAATTGAGCAGTTGTGCCACCACATTAATATGTGACCAAAACCAGGCCTAAATTTGTTCTTGATTCTCTCACAGAAGGAAATCAATCTGTTTTCCTACTGGCAAGATTCAGGTGTGCAAAGCATATTCAGTGTGTTAATTGTTAACCACTAGCATTCAGCTTTACAGGGAATCATAAGGCAAGACAAAAGTCTAAAAAATTTCATGATCTGGATTCTAGCTGTATCCATTCGGTTTTTCACCTGCCATGAGTCTAAGAGAAATAAACATATGTCCTATATTTTAAAATAGTAAAAAAATAATATAAAGTAATGGAATAACAGGAATCCTGTTAAATCCTATCTGAACAATGTCAAAGAAGATTCCACTTATTCAGTAAAAATGTGGGCATTACAAAGCCGTTTTTTTTTTGTAGTTTATAAGGTTTTTTAGAAAGGATGCTTTCAGAGTTACGAAAAAGAAACACAAACTAAAATACTAAAGCTGCCAATACACGTTTTAAGGTTTTTACTGGAAAACAATAGAACAATGCTCATATAATTCGATTTCAGCCTAGGAGGACAGCACAGAAAAAAACCTCCAAGCCTTAATGAACCACCATTACTTAAGTGGCCTCTGTGTGCCACAATAGTAGTTCTCATGATTTCAGGACAAAAACATTGGTTTTGGTGAGGTTCCTTAGTTGGGGAGTGAATTTCAAGGGGAGAGGCATGAAGACCAAGGGGCTTTCCGAGAAAGTCTGGGATAAAGTCTTTGAAAGGCACAGATTACGAGAAAGGCAGAAAAAAAAATCAAAGTCTCTTAATATCCCCGGTAAGCCCAGCCTACTCAATCATCTATAAAAAGGAAGGTGCATCATACCACCCAGATACTGACAGCTTACTGAGCAGCTGGGAAAGGAGGAAACTAGTGAGTGGTACCACTGCAAGGCCAACAAGAACCAGAGTGCAGGGGCTGAGATGGGAGAAAACTGCATCAGTCAACAATATCCTAGTAACTCCACAAAGCTGGCCTGTATGGCAGAAGCAAAAAACAATCTCATATCCCGCAGGGGCTTGGAACACAGCACCTGAATGATCTGGCAAAAGCCAGCAGCCATATCACCCTGCAACTCACACCTGGGAACCCACTGGAGCCCAGCAGGTGTGAGCCTGGTCAGTCCCTGGATGGGAGACCTCCTGGGAAAAAACTAAGGTTGCTGCTGGAAGAGGTGTTAGTGGGGCCAGCAGGGGGCGCTCACCCTGCGGTCAGTGTGGGTCCTAATACCCCAGTTATGCCCCTTATGCCATTTGTAAATGCGATACCACAAGACCGGGATGAATAGTTTTGCACAAGTTAAAGCATGAAGAGTATCTGTGGAGAATTAAGGGAATGGTGGACAAGAAGGCTGTCTATATAATCAAAATCCCAATTCCCATTATACTTGTTTTTATTTCCCGGGCAAACTCCTGCAGAGCTCACTATAGCAGATATTCTGACTGATAAAAGGCAGAAACACCGAACAATACAGACCAACGCATAAAAGGACAAACACAACAAGACTGCCTCACAAACCTAAAGAGTGATGTAAATGTTTTCGGCTTTTGATTTCTTCAGCTATTTTATAATATACAATGATAAAATATACAATGCAGTGTTTAACATGAAGCCATTCAGTATTCAGGAGACAGCAACCTTAAGAACAGAGAACCTTACACAAAGTCAGGGGCTGTTTCAGTATGAAGGAAATATCGCAGCAGATCAAACCTGGCAATGCAAGAGTCACCAGTCAGACACAGGAAAGATGTAGTGCTAAACAAAATGTGGTGCCCACAAGCTTGCTTGCCTACATTTACTGAGCACAAAGGTCTTTTAAAGCAGCACATGTGTGGACTGTCAAAATCAGAGCCTCCCGAACTGCAACCTGTAGCTGACAACTATCCTTCTCCCTACAGCTCCGATCTCAGCCCTTGGTTTCCATACAGTTACAGTTGTAAGTCAACACAGCAGAGATTAGCGTTTCCCTGAATCCAATCTGTTCAGCAGATATGGTACAGAGTTTAACAGGGGTTTATCTGGCTCTGAATGTATTGCAGGAAAAAAAAACAAACAAGGCGCAACAGATCAACAGAGGAAAAAAAACAGTAATCACTACTCCATCTGACACAGGGAAAAAGACTAGGCTTTAACAAAATATTGTGAGTAACTGAAGTATATAACAGACAACAACTGAAAGAAATCTTATTTTATGAATAATCCACTCCTTAAAGCTATTATTAAGAAAGTCACTTATAATTTGGATGTGCATAATGAAATCAAATCATGAACATATCCGCCTTATATTATTAAAAATGACTAATGCTCAACAAATACAGTGGAGTACTGCTGTAGAATGTTGTAAAGGGCTAAAGAGATTTCCAAAAAAAAAGAACATTTATTAAGAGTTGCTCACTCATACGGTTTGAAATTTGAAATCTATAGTGCTATCCTGGAATGTATCTACAGTGTCCTCTAATGCTAATTCATAAAGCCCATTTATTCTATAGAAGGAGTCATAAAACAATTGGAGTCTGTCGATGATATTTTTTTCTTAAGGCCCTGTTAGTGGTCATTGGGAGTCTTGTTACAATGGCAAGAATGATCATTACACCGACATACAACATTTATTCCAAATATTTTGAAAGTTCAGCACAATTCTTTTCCCCAGATATTTACGATATAATTAAACACAACCAAGCTGCAAAAAATTCTAAAGCAGCCCCTAAAGCACCAAACGATGCACACCTTCAACACTCCGAAATTCACACAGTCAGCAGCTCGCCCCTGACTGCTAGACTCCCGTCACGGTCTTTTTCAAAACAATCTGCCACCTACACCCCTGTCCCCATCGACGCACCAACAGGAACTGTCGGAATAAATCAGGAGTGATTTAAGCGAGATAAACCAAACGTACCTGAGAAGCCAGCAACTGAATAAAAACCAGCTAATGAACAACGCAGCTGTGGTTTAGTTTAAAAATTGATTCAAAATGCTGGTGCGCTGAGTGTGTACTGTATCACACACTGGGTAGCAGACAGCGGGTCAGGATGCCTAGAACAAAATATATCGTCCCTGCTGCATTATCTCAGCTTCGGTGCCACCCAAGGTCGAGATAATCCAAATTGCAAAGCAGCCCAGCGCCTCTGAACTGTGACAACGGCCCTCAGCAACTTTACTATCTCCAGAGCTCCAGGGCTGCGCTGCGTATGGGACTGGGGTGTGCGTTCAGGTCTTCCTGTTTGAAGAAAGATAAAGACAGACGTCCTGCTGTAAGCGCACTAAACGCGAGAACGGAGGCTTTGAAAAACAGCCTTTCCTGCGATTCATGTGGGAAAACGGGTGAAACATGAGGATTTTGTGTTTGATTACGTAGCACTGCTGCTGCTCAGCGCAGGGGCCCTGGGTTCAATTATGGACGGTCTTTGTGGAGTTTGTATGTTCTCCCTGTGGTCACATGTGTGCTCTGGTTTCCTCCCAGAGGCTAAAGACATACTGGTAGGTTAGTTGGCTTCTGGGAAAACTGGATCTAGGGTGAGTGCGTGCTTGTCTGTGTACCTGTATGTCTGCCCCGTGATGGACTGGTGTCTCGTCCAGTGTGCACGCTGACTTACACCCGCTGCTTGCTGGGATAGGCTCCAGCTTCACCGCTGAACTGCATTAAGCAGTTAGAAAACGTCTAGATGGATGGAGTTTTTGTTTGGTAAAACAACCGGGGATAATAAATACAAAATCCACCAAATGTTTATTTTCATTGTTTTAATCACTTTATTTGGTATAGTTCCCTTCGCAACACTTTGTCACAGAGCACTTAACGGCTTTTTACACTAGTAAACAAAATAACACTTGCTGATCATTGGGCACAGAGAAGAGGAAAACAAAAACTCCCAGTGTGAGACACGAAACCTCTGGGGGTACCAACAAATTCCCCCTCCGGGCAGTGGGTTTGTGGTACATTCCACATTTGCAGAGTTTGGCCAGATCATGCTAATGAATTGCAAACTACATGCAAATGGAAGCACATTTAAAACTTTAAAGCCATCACACACTCATGGATATCAGAATTGCCATAAAAGTGAAATGACACATATTACTCACAAACCAAACTGCAACTCTTAAGTCTGTATTATTTTAGGAAAAACTGTTTAGATTTATGAAGAACTTTTCCTCACTCAGAATGTTTTATAGCAACGCCCCCAACTCGAAACAAAAACTCTCTTTCAAGCACAGGCTCCTCTGGAGACCTTATGGAGCTTTTAAGTGACTGTTACATATACACATTGATTATTTCCAGAGCCAAAGATTCTGGTTTCATTAAATATTTTACAAATATTGTGATCTAAAAAGAAAGAAGAGTTATTGGATATACTGCCAAGATAACTGACAGAATACTTGGACATCCAACAAAACACCAAACAAAAATTGTGAAGAGGAAATTGTTGCAAAGTGAATTCTAAATTAAGCACATACAGTTGGTTGACACAACAATTGGAGCTGCAGCTGTTCCAGAGA